CCCCCCCGGTCACCTCCCAGAAACGTCAGCATGCCCAGCAGCTGTTACCAGAGTGGATGAACATATGCTTGGTGTAGTTTTTGCGGGAGCTGAACGTTTTCTGGCAATGGCTACACTGGTAGGAGGGCTCGGAGCAGCGCGAGGGGCCAGGCTGTTGGGTCTGCTGTTCTCCGCCGTGCAGGGTGCCTGGGACGATGGAGCTGGGGCTGAGCTGCACCATGTTGCTGGCGCCCGCCTCTTGCTGCTGCTGCTGTATGCTGTAAAAGCTCTGGGCCACGCCGCCGGGCTGGGGGAGGTGGAACTGGAAGATGCTTGTGGTGCTGGTGGCCGTGTTGGCGCCGCTGACCTCGGCCTTCAGCTCCCGCTGGATGCCCAGGGAGGAGACAAAGGTCAGCCCCCCGCCGCCACCGCTGCCGCTACTGCTGCGGGGCGGGAACGCCGAGGAAGGGCCGCCCAGGTCCGACTTGAACTCCCCCGCCAGGCTCCTCAAGTTGGATGCCTCCAAGCTGCAGTCCGAGTGGAACTTCTCCCTGTCCCGTGTGGCCGACGGGGCGGCCTCTTCGCCGCTTTCCTCCCCCTGCCAGGTCGGGATGAAGGACTCTGAAAACACATCTTGGTTCCCAAAGAAGTCCTGGCCCTCGGAGGTGGTGTAGTCCAAGTGGATGTTCTCCTTCCTGCCGGCCCCGCCGGGCCCCCCGGAATCCTTGGCCTCCGCCTCCTCGCTGTAGCCGGTGGGGAAGCTCCCGCTCCCGCTGCACTCGGCGAAGCAGCTCAGCTTGGCTTCTCGTTCGGCCGCCACCCCCTCCCCGCCTTCTCCAACACCCTCTTCCTCGTCCTTGATGATGACGGGCATGGCCTCGGAGAGCTGAAGGCGCACCGGCTGGCGCTGCTTGCGGCTGTGGCAGCTGGTCGTGGCCTCGGCGGGGTGCAGATAAGGAGCCCCCGTTTCCCCATCGCTCAGGCCCCCCTCGCACGTGGCTGCCCTCGCCTCCCTGTGCTGGGAGGAGAGCAGATCGCGCAGCTTATAGCGCACCTCAGAAGCACAGAGCAGCTTGGGAGGCTCAAGGTGGGCGGCCTCGAGGTCCCCAGGCCGGGAGATGCCACCGATAGCCTCCTTAGCGGGCTGCTCTTGGGGTTTGGTGGGCAGAACCCTGGGAAGGGAGAGGGGTACCGACGAGGAGGCAGCGGGCGGTTTCGGGCTGCGGCTCTGGGAGATGATCTGGGTGCATTCGTCGATGACAGTCTTGATCTGCAGGATCGAGGCGGCGGTGAGGATCTGCAGAGCTTCGGACTGGGCTACGACCAGAGAGCCGCTGTACATGAACTCCACCAGTTGACGCACCACCTGGCTGGGCACCACAGGGGGCACCTCGATCTCGGAGTAGCCCAGCAGCAGCTTGTCGTGGAAGAAGGGGCTGCCGGCGGCCAGCACGCACCGGTGGGCGCGCAACGTGGCCTCCTGGATGTGCACCGTCACATCGCAGAAGTGCCCGCCCAGACGCTGCCCGTTCAGGGTCTCCAGAAGAGACTTGCTGAAGTTCTGAAGGTGGATGTAATGGACGGCTTCAGCCATGATGTCCCGTGTTCCACCCTGGGGGCATCCAGGGTTCCTGGTTCCTCTAAAGAAGAGAGTCCATTATGGGTTGGTGCAGTCCAGAGAGGAACTATCTTCAACAAACCCTGAAACGAAACCAATGGGAAGAAATGAGCAAAGCTACAACACAGGGTGGTTTACCTTGCAGAAGCATAAACTCTCACATCCGTTTTTTTTTAAAAAAAATGTTCAGTGTTTCAGCACTGTGTGATTCAACTGAGTTGTGGATCATGGGGGATTACAGCTACAGCCAGGTTAGGTAGACCCTCCACCTGACACAACTGTGTTGCACTGCAGAAGTAGCTACTGAGAGCCCTCTTGGAGCTGTCTCGAAGAGCTCTGCCCACTCTGCCATGCCACCGGTGAGTGACTCAGGACTCTCTTTCCAAGACTGACAGGGGGCAGTTGAATAACTGAAACAAAAAAAAACCCGGCCAATTTGTCTGGCCATAACCACCCTCTCCAAACTGATTTATGACTTTGTTTTCAAGACTTGCGTTTGCTTACAGAAGGCAACAACCAATACAAGATTAGCTTGGTCCTAGAATATCCATTTGATATTTGTACCCTGCCCTTCTCCCAAGGATCTCATCATATGGGGTTCTTCTCCAGTTATTATCATGATTATCGGCAATCAGGGCTCTTTTTGTAGAAAAAGCCCAGCAGGACCTCATTAGCATAATAGGACACACCCAACAGCAGGAACTCATTAGCATATTGGGCCACACCCCTGACAACACAGCGCATTAGCATATTAGGACGCACCCCCATGTTACCAGAAGTGTGGTTATCCAGCCACACCCACCTTTTGCTTCTTATTCTGTTTACCTTGTTTGTTTTCAAAACCCAGGGCTTTTTTGTAGCAGGAACTCCTTTGTATGTTAGGCCACACAACCCTAATGTAGCCAATCCTAATGAGTGTCTGCTGTTGGGTGTGGCCTATTATGCTAATGAGTTCATGCTGGGCGTGGCCAACTCGGGAGACAGCCGGAACTCCGTTCCTGTGCGTTCCTACCCAAAAATAGCCCTGATAGGCATCATTTGTAACCTACCTTTCTCATTGAGACTCAAGGTCGATTACAAAATATGAAAAGCTATTTGATCAGATAGAAAAGGTCTCCAATAAACAATGGGGTCGGACTGGGATTACAGAACTGGAGAACAATGGCAACAAAAACTGCCTGAGGCATCACATACCACAATGAAGAAAGGGGGTTTAAAAAGACATTGTAGTAAAAAGGAAGGCGATACACACAGTATGCATTGTCACAGATGACAACAGACTAGAAGCAGCCTCCTGAGTGGTTCCATTGTACTACAGTTCCAATCATCTTATAAAAATGCCATCCTGAACGCTTCTGTTTTGTGAAATGATAGAAGCACGGGAGCTGCAGCTGTCAAAACGCAGGGTTTAGAAAGACCTTCCAGGTTCCTTAAGAACTAATCCTTTTAAAGGTAAAGGTTCCTTTGCTCGAAAGCCAGTCGAATCCGACTCTAGGGTTGCGGTGCTCATCTCCGTTTCAAAGCCGAAGAGCCAGCGCTGTCTGAAGACGTTTCCATGGTCATGTGGCCGGCATGACTAAACACCAAGGCGCACGGAACGCTGTTACCTTCCCACCGAAGAGGTACCTATTTATCTACTTGCAATTTCTTGCTTTTGAACTGCTAGGTTGGCAGGAGCTGGAACTAGAGACGGGAGCTCACTCCGTCATGCGGCACCCGGGTCTCGAACTGCTGAACTACTGACCTTCCACAGCCTGCAGTTCAGCGTCTTAACCACTTGAGCCACCGCAGCTCCTAAAATCCATTTACGAAGTTACTTAATGTGTTTATTTCTAGAGCTACAACTTGAGCCTAGAGGCCAAACCAACTCCAGTGGCCATCTTACAACCTTCAACTCCTGGTTTTTCCTCCCATACTCCCCCAGGAGACAGAGGCCCTCTCCTCCAAACATTAACACTTTCTATCATCCTACTCTACTGTATACACAACAACAACTCTGTAAGGTAATTTAGGCTGAGAGAGGGGGACTGGCCCAATGTCACCCACTCATCAAAAGCTCTGGAGAGGCTCAATAGCAGGTTTTGCTTTCACGTGCCAAGTCCCTTTACCTTATGTGCTTTGACCATATTAGCATTAGAACAAGGGGGCAAACCATCAGATAAAACAGACAACTAGACAGCTTAACCAAGAAAGCAATTGTCAGCCTGAAACATGTTGGGGGTAATGAAAGAAGATAACAATACTGTTACACATTAATAGTTCACCACAGTGAAGGACGTACAGCTGGCATGGCGTCGCGGTTAAAGAGTTACTAGGATGTGGAAGGCCCAAGTTCAAATCCTCACTCTGCCAGTTGACAACAACTCTGTAAGGTAAGCTAGGCTGAGAAAGGGGGACTGGCCCAATGCTGGGTGACCTTGGGCCCATTTCTCACTCATTCTTCTCTGTCTAATCTACCAGCATATAGGGTTGTTTTAAGGATAAAATGGCAAACAGAAAAATTATATAAGCCACACGGAGGTCCCTGGAAGATGGGCGAAATTAAAAATGTATTCAAAATAACCAGATAAATCAAAATATCTCTCAAAGCAAACCTATGGAATTGTAGCCCTGACCTGGTGAGCCCAGGCTGGTCTGATCCCATCAGATCTCAGAAACTAAGCAGAGTCGGCCTTGGCTAGTATTTGGATGGGCGACCTCCAGAGAATACCAGGGGCGTGACGCAGAGGAAGACAATGGCAAACCACCTCTGAAACGTCTCTTGCTTGAAAACAAAGTCTAGCTCACCCCCTAGAGGTGCATAACACTAAAAAGAGCTAGAACTTCTGGCTGCCAGACAATCTTAGGATCTACTGGCTATTCCACACACACTGCCATACGATAATAAATTATGGAATTGTCATATGGAAGAAGCCCTGTGTGATACAGCTTTGTCCAAGCCCTGAGGACATCTGAGCCATTCACATGAATGAATCCAAATTTCGCACATGCAGTGCAGTGCAAGGAAAACACAGAGACTGCAACAATTACTTAAGCAGGGGGAAAACATGGAGGTGGATTCCACCAGCTTATCTGATGGGGTGTAAAGGAAGGAGGGGTCCCCTTTGACTTCTAAAAAAATGCTGTGCTGGGAGTCACAGGGCCTGTGTGGACAAAAAACATGCAGGATGGGGACTGATATAGGGAAGATCATTGCATGAGACTATAAAAACTGGCTGGTTCCAACCCATGATGTTTTTGAACTTGGCAGGGGAAAAAGGGAGAACTAAGTGTCATGTATCCCATTATTAACAGATCACAAAGGGGCAGAAATGATGAGGAGAGGAACAGATCCAAGTGACAGCTTGATTTGATAAGTTGTTCCTTTTATGCATAGGAAGCTTATATCTTTGGAAGAAGCAGCTGGGTCCTACCATCCTATTTTAACCCTGGGTCACTGCAATAACTTGTCTGTGAAACAACGTGGAACTGAACCCTAGAAGTCTAGTATTTCCCCATAGCTCCACCATCCAGCAGCTTAGACCTGATATATACATGCAAGGGAATAAAGTGGTCAGATTTTGCAGACTGGACATCAGACTACAGGAGGAGGATCATTTGGAACGTCTCCCATCTGACAAGAACTCCCTGCAAGCAGAAAACCAGCACAGCAAGTGTTAGCTCAGCATCAAACCACACAGAGGCTCTATTCCTCTCACCTGGCAACCTAGTGGTTATTCCCTCTTACACAGGTGTCCAGTCAGCCACTGCTGTACCTAGAGCTTTTTTGGCAGTTGCTCCTATTCTATGAAATAGCCTTTCAGAAGCTGTTAGGTAGGCTTCCCCATTACCAAGATGCCACAAGTAAGTAGTCCATTAATCTTTATAAAAGTTACATAAGATGCTGTTAACTCTATGCTATATACAGTATAGAAGAAGAAGAAGAGATTGGATTTATACCCTGCCCTTCACTTGGAGTCTCAGAGCGGCTTACAAACTCCTTTCCCTTCCCCTCCCCACAACAGACACCCTGTGAGGTGGGTGGGGCTGAGAATGAGAGCTCTGACACAAACGGCTCTTTCAGGAACAGCTGTGCCAGAGCTTGTGACTGACCCAAGGTCACCCAGCAGGTGCAAGTGGAGGAGTGGGGGAATCAAACCCGGTTCTCCCAGATTAGAGTCCACGCACTTAACCACTACACCAAACTGGCTCTATATGGTAGGTAAGCCACTTCTTTCGATATTTCTCCGCTGAAATTCATAGACTCGTCTGAGCAAAGCCTTCTGATGGTGCCAACCCCTCCCCCCCTCCGAAAATCAGCAAGATCAACCATTGCCAATACTTGGCCACTCTCTGTTGTGGCTCCCACCTAGTGGAAAGGACAGCCTGAGGTGGTCAGGGAGGGTCCCATACTTCTATGTAGTCTTATGATACTGCTGTTAGTGTGCTGTTCTCTAAATGTGCAAATAAAAGAAGTTGCAGAGCCATACTGGTCCATTCGGAATCCAAAATCAAGAATGAACTCCATTTCATACTTTTTATTAGGACCAAACAGATTGACACAATACATTACGCAAGCTTTGGATTCCACCAACATGCTTCATCAGGCTTAGATGTTATAAGATATTAAAGCACAAAAGTGTGAAGAGCCCCCCAAATTCTCCACTCATGTCCCCAGTAGAAGCCAATCACAATAAGAATACAAGAAATAAAAAAGGTTTTTAACATATGGTATGTGAACAGATATCTATGCACTAAATGGGAATGGTTATGGGGAAAAGATATCAAATTTACAGCCAGCCAGGAGTTAAGAGAATATTGGTATAAAATGTTTTTCAGACGATATATAACTCCAAAGGATATTGAGAAAGCAAATTAAAAACTACAAAGGAAAATGCTGGAAATGTCACAACACAGATGAAACCTTTTTTCATATGTGGTGAATGTGTAACACATGGGCTGCGGTGGCTCAAGTGGTTAAGACACTGAACTGCCGACCAGAAGGTCAGTAGTTCAGCAGTTCGAGACCCG